AATCCAATACCTCGATTAGAACAGTAGAAGAAACTATGCTTTAATAAGGAAAAAAAGGTAAAAATTTAAGATTTCTGATTAATGCTTGAGAACTTAGAGACATTCTTTTCAAAGTGTCTAGCATAAAATGAATCTATAGGAATAATATAAAATCTAAAAAAAAAAAGTGAAGAAAGTGAGGGAGACAGGGCTGGGTTAGGAGTTTAGAAGCTATCGGTTGTGATTGTTGATGATACAACATCACAGACTACACAGCAGAACACAGTTTTGTGAAAAGAGAAGGTCAGAGAACTATAGCATGTCTTTCTTAGTTTCATACTGAAGTTACTTCCTACAGCTTCTCATATGCTACATTCTGTACTCAGGGCCCTTAGAAAATATTTTACTAATTTAAACAAATTTCAGGAGCTTTCCTTAGAGTGAAGACAATACCTTTCACTAACCCAAGATGGTTGGAGAGTTTGGAATAGTATAAAAATATATTGTTGAGGAAAAAAAATGATCAGAATCAGTCATTTGCTTTGTAATAATGGAGAAGGGGGGCTTTCCTCAGCAGAGGGGCCCCTTGGTGCTCAGTGTGTGAGACAGGCCACAAGCACTGCTGACTTGGGGAGGGATTTTGGATCATGGATTCACGGGGCTACAGCCGACCTAAATGTTGAATGAATAGAGATACCTGAGGAAGAGCAGGTGTTATTTGGGGCTATTTGTTAAAGGACCTTCTCAGTGAGTAGGTTCATGGTATAATACATTCTTACTACCAGGAAAAGTCAAGGCTTCCTTCTCTCTTTTATTACCTACTTAAGACCACTAGCGAGAGAAGGCTAACAGCCTAGGTGCTAAACTTTCCAGTTCTTTCAATTTGCAGTCTTCTCTGGGAAATTTCAGCAATATCCACAGACTTAAAAATACCTAACTGTGGTCAAATTATTATGGTTATTTTTAATTGCCCATCTGGATTGTGACATGGTCAATCTAATTGACTATAGAGAAAAAGGGCCAGTATGGTGGCTGCAAAGTACTGCAAACAGTGGACTGTGCAGAAGGTAATTGAGGGGCAGCATAGAAATGGAGACTACTTGAGTATATTCATGATATCATCTTCATTACTGTTTTGGACAAATCTTCCTTCAGCCAGCAGGTCAGGGCTGTGGACCTCTAATTAATGTAATTTACCTGTCAAAACACAGATTGTGTGTTGCTAACTCAGCTAGGATCTGCAAATATTGATACCAGGCTACAGCACTGTGCCTTTGCAAAGTTGGCACAGGACTGGGAATCAAGAAATTCAAGTGTACCCTGACCCTGTCCTTTGAAAAAGGGAGCTTTGAAAAAGGGAGATAATACTACTTTACATTCCTATCTTGGCGTGTGAGGATCAAAGGAGATAATTTTTTTTAAAGTACACGGTAAAGGAGAAAGTGTGGGATAATATTTAAAACATTCACCTATGGTTTGGCATTCCCTGTTCTCTCTTTACTTTTCTTCCCATTTATTCAGCTAAGCTGTCCTGTGCTCATTGCCTCAGAGGACAGTAGAGAGCAGGGGAGAAAGGGGCCTCTTTCTGGCATTTGAATTTCAAGTCTAGCCTATGAGGGGAACAGAAAGAACTAATCATGGACAAAAGCCTAGGAAGAAAACACAGCAAATGAAATCAAGCTCCCCTGCTCTCCAGAAAAATGGCGATTCCCTAGGCTGGGCATGGGGTTGAAGGTGACAGTGATGCATGCTTACTCACCTGAGCCCAGGTGGCAAAACATCCACAGAGTTTCGTGGGATCCAGCAGTTGAGGGGATCTGAGACATGAAGTTAAGGAAAATGAAGAAAGAAATCTGTATTATTCAGGGTTCTCCAGAGAGACAGAACCAATATAATGGATGGATAGATAGACAGATGGACAAGAGGGTATTTATTAGGGAAATTGGCTTATATAGTTATGGAGGCTGAGAAGTCCCACGATAGGCCATCTGCAAGCTGGAGGCAGGTAGCATGGCTCTCAGAACCAGGAAATCTGATGGTGTAACTCTGTCTGTGGACAAAGACCTGAGAACTTGGAACATGGGGGGCACTGGTGCAATTCCCAGAGTCCAAAGACCAGAGAGGCTGGAGTGCTGATGTCCAAGAACGGGAGAAGAAGGGTGTCCCAGCTCCAGGAGAGAGTGAGCAAATTTAGTTTTTCTTCTGCCTTTTTGTTCTGTCTGGGTCCCCAGTGGATAAGATGGTGCTGCCCACATTGAGGGCAGATCTTCCCCACTCAGTCCACCAACGCACATGCCAATCTGCAGAAACACCTTCACAGACACACAGAGAGTGAGCAAATTTAGTTTTTCTTCTGCCTTTTTGTTCTGTCTGGGTCCCCAGTGGATAGGATGGTGCTGCCCACATTGAGGGCAGATCTTCCCCACTCAGTCCACCAACGCACATGCCAATCTGCAGAAACACCTTCACAGACACACCCAGAAATAATGCTTTACCACTTACCTAGGTATTCTTTAATCCAGCCAGGCTAACGCCTACAATCAACCATCACAGTATCTTACTTCCTCACCTGAGTTTATGGGCTATTTGACCTACACCTGCTTTCTGAAGCACTACCTCTATGGCCCAGGGTGTTTTTCTTCAGCTCTAGCATTTATCTGGATACCCTGTCTCTGAGTCTCTGAGAAGTCTCATCCAAGTCTCTCTTTTCTTCAATTTCATTCCAATTTAACTCATAAAAACCTTTAGCACCTACTCTACCCCCTGAAACCACATGGGACCCTTCACAGAATTGCTGAGTCCTCCCTTGAGTTGCTTACAGTTGGTAGTAGAAGGAAGATGCACAGACAGCTCTCTCAGTCTCCACCTTCCAGATTAGTCAGTGGCTGAAGAGAAGTGACAAGGGGCTTGGGAGGCTCACACAAGAAGGAAGAACAATGGTGAAATTGTAAACGAGAAACCATTTTCCTCTTAAAGGCTCTTCTTGTTTTCAAAGGCATATATGTTTAAACACTTAATTCCCATTACTTATGAACTCGGTGCATACATAAGCAGCTGAAGTTGTGATATAGTCTCTTTTTATTTAAGCTTTCTTTATTGAACTTAAGCCAGAGAATTAAGACTCTCATCTTGGGGACCTTAAATAAAAGATCATGTCTTATCCACTTAGTTAAGCAGCTCCCTTCATTCACATCTGATCCGGTTTTTAAACTGAGGAAAACTAGATGAACAAGGAAATAAGGTTCTGAAGTATTGGGAATGTTTCTGTTGTGGCCTCTGGTGCTTAGACCCTCCGCACATGTCCCAGGCACAGGCTTGGTACTTGCCATCTTTTCTGCTCTGAAGGTTATTCCCCCAGAACCCTCACACTCACGGCCTCCGAGGCGTCTCCTGAAACTGTCCCACCTGGTGTCTCTCACCACAGTTCCCTGTTTTGTCATTATGGTAGCATTTATCATCGATACCTGAAGATACTTACTTTTTATGTGTTTCTTTCTCTCCTTCACCAGCATGTAAATTCCAAGAGGACTGGAAATGTCTTGCTCTATATTGCTTAATTGCCCAAGGCAAGATGGGTACGATTACTGCAAAGAACAGCAGAATCCAAACAGCAATCAGAATAGTCTGACTTGCGGGGACCTATGGCATTGGCTGCTTAATCATGGTATTCCTAGAAATAAAGTAGATAGGAAGCCTGCTAAATTCTTACTCGATCTGTATAATCAGAAAAGTTCCATGTCAAGTGAACAAAAATCGAACTTGAGTCATAAAACCAGAGTCATGGCCCCTTAGTCAATTTCAGGCTCAGAGCCCAGAACCCCTTAAATGAAGAGGAGGCCCTTGAGGAAGGACCCCACAGAAATTTGTGCTGTTAATCTTTCTCCCAGCCATCCCCAAAGGAATCGACAGTTTTTTA